CATCTACAATGTATTTCGGTTGAAAGATTATAAAGTAACAATTCATGACCAGCAGTCTATTGGCGTAAATACGCTGTTTTCATTGATTTGTGAACCGCTCTGAAACCGTGAGCCTGTAAAATGTGCAACAGTGCTGCGTTTTTTACTTTGAAAAGTGCAGCGCTCATGTTTTCTTAATTAAGTCATAGACTTTTGAAGTTTATCACATTAGGCTGTATCATAATTCCTGTTTGTCTATCCCCAAATTTAAGACCTCTTAAAATGATTGTTATACCATTTAAGATATATTCAAGAGTTTTTATGACCTTAAATTTCATAAAACTGTTTTTTCCCCCTTTTTAAGGACCTGCAGGAGCTTTTTTATTCACACACGTGCTGCTAAATATGTTTTACAGTTCGCATGCATCTATTTTTAATTGCAAATGTGAGTGAAACACTCACCCCAGCGAGCCCTGGATTTATATTTATTGCTTGCCGCTTTGTTACATCATGCGTGTTTGGGCAATTCTCGGCCAGAAAAAGCTGCAAAGTGGACCTGACTTTATGGTGATAGTCAAAAGTCTGGAAGAGACATTTGCCTGAGGCCAGGCCTGCTATAGCCAGTGCCACCCTCCTGAGCGTCTGCTTCAATTGTGTGTGTGTCTGTCTGGCAGGGGAGGTTTAATTGAGCTGTGACTCATCTAATGGAGAAGGCAAAAGGCTTGTGTCACACTGGGTGCATGGCAGGATTGTAATGAATCAGTGGTCGCTGAGGACAACAGGTGTGTATGAGTGTCTGTCCAGTTCAGGATGGCCAAGTGGTAAAAAAAGATAAATATTAAAAATTATAGTCTGAGAGTAGGTGGATGCTTTATAAATAGGTCCTGCTGGTTATCTGCAGGTTTGTGTTTGTATCAGTTTGTGTATGAGCACTGTTTAGGTGGCAGAATATGCCTGAGAGGATCAAATCTGAGGTTGGCACATCCGGCTGATTCACAGCTCCTTATAATAAAGAACAACAGAATGAAGGGGAAGTGAGAAGGAAATCCTTCATGGGAGAGCAGATAGGGAGACGATGATGGGTTTTGGGACCTTATGTAAGGTAAAAGATTCATCAAATATTCTTGCTGGGTTATTACGTGGGCACTCCTACGCCAAAAACAGGAACTATGCCAAATATTGGCTGAACAGCATGAGTGCTTATAACAGTCTCTATTCTTTTTTATGCTGATGGCAGTTACTTAAAGGCTGTTAAATTGGGTGTGAATTGGGGTGGTTTGACCCACCTACTTAAAGCCTATAGGTGAGGTGATGAAAGCAAAACTAAACATTTTTTCTTTATATTACAAAAAGAATGTTTTAGGAGTGTTCCAAATGTCCACATTTTTCTATAACCAAAAAAAGTTAGGTTACAATTTATTTAAAGGGTGAATTTTCACCTGGTGCCAAATAAGCTAGATGGAAGGTCATCCTCAGTAAAAATCGCTGCTTGGTGCCCTCAGGGAGACGAAATGATGCCCCCTTTGTAGTTGGAAACTATTGGTCTTTAATTTTTTTGGATTATGATTATATAAAAAGTAACATGAAAAGTGTTTTATTTAAAAAAAAAAAAAAAAAAAGTCCTCAAGATTGATGTTTGGTGTGGGTGCAGAAGGCAATTTGGGTTGCATGAGACGTGTAATACATCAATAAATTGTGTCCTGAAATCTAGCTTTTAAAAAGTTGACTTTTCTGAAATTCATTGTATAATTCGCACACTGGCTGTTGAGTATGTGTGGTTACATAAGACAGCTGGTTACATAAAGTGTTGGGACTGTGAGTGAGGAGGTTATCCTAAGTGTTGCCAGAGACAAATCTAAGATTAAGATTAGGGTCAGGAATTAGGGTTAGGGATTCTCAGTCGGCTTGGGTCATAGGGGGACATAGTGAAACTGAAAATCATTTGTAGGCAAATAAGTCTCTGTAAATTCCGGCAAGTTCATTCCTGCCTAATGACTAAGACAGCTGGTTACATAAAGTGTTGGGACTGTGAGTGAGGAGGTTATCCTAAGTGTTGCCAGAGACAAATCTAAGATTAAGATTAGGGTCAGGAATTAGGGTTAGGGATTCTCAGTCGGCTTGGGTCATAGGGGGACATAGTGAAACTGAAAGATCATTTGTAGGCAAATAAGTCTCTGTAAATTCCGGCAAGTTCATTCCTGCCTAATGAGAGTGAAAGGCCATAGCAACAGCACACAGGCAATGCAGTGGTGGGAACTCCTCTGATTACACTCTCTTCAGACACAAGAAAGAACAGAGTTTAATCTTGTAAACACAGTTAGGCTCCTCACTCTCAATTTATGTTCTTCATCAGCTCCCAGCTGAGGTGTGAGCAGTATGCTGCTAGTGAAGTGCTCGTATGTCTATGTAATAACATAAAATTGCAGTGAAGTGGGGTTTAGGTGTGCGTCTAGGAGAACTTGTGTTTTATAGGTTGTGGTGTGCATGTGCAGGCAGCAATGGTTGTAAAATTGGAAAATCTTCCATGACATGCCAGACTCGCACAGTACGTTTAGCCAATACCAAACAAGAACAATAAATATGTACTATGGGAGTCTGTCATGTCATGGAAGATGGACCAACTTTACAACAATTGTTGAATCTTCAGCTTTGGGGTACCACAGGGTTCGATACTTGGCCCCATACTTTTCTCATTTGCACTCAGAGCTGTAATGCATTCATTGCTCGTCATACAGTATGCTGCTTATTCTCAGCACGTCTCATTTCCTCCTATCTGTCTCTATACCTTATAGTGGATCTTTTCTAGTTTCGAGGAACAAGACGTGGCCTGTAGAACAGATCGGTGGTCAGATGTACTGATATGAATGATTTGTGTGCTGCAAAGTGAAATACCTCGTTTTTCTGTACAAGGATTTCCGGATGGTGTCAGCTTCTCAAAAAAGTTTTAGAAAGTACCAGAGTCACTTGAAACAGTAAGTAGCAGAAATTATGCAGATCAGTCCTTTGCATTACTCTATATCCACTGCAGTTGTTGCTCTGAGGCCCTATCTTCCATTTTCAGTTCATCACAGCGCGCCGCGGCTCACTGGCCGATCTCCAGAGAGATATCCGTCACATAGAATGCTGACACAAGGAGGAATTGTCCTCAAGAAGAAGGAGAGGAGCGAGGGAGCGTCTTGGCTTGTTTATGCTGGCTGATATCGGAGCTGTCAGTCAAACAATGAACAAACTCTGTCCTAGGGACAAAAAGAAAACTTCACTCACACTCCTTCTTCCACATCCTTATCGATCTCCAACTCCACTGTTGTTCAAATTAGACAGTTAAACACACTGTCTGTGCCAATCTGCGTAAACAAATTAGTAGTCGGTCTCCTGTTCAGAGATGTAAAAACCTAAATATTTTTTAAAACCAGTCGGTTTTCTCAACCCTGAGCTTTGTATAATTTTGCAGCCTTAGGGTCATGTTCACCAGACAGCAAGCAGACATCTTTTTTTAATGAGCGTTCACATAGTTCTTCAGTTTGAAAACATTTGGACTGAGTGTAGCAGAATGGAACAGAATGCAGAGGTCTTGAGGTGCATTTGTAAAGGTTGGACTATTGGAAGACGGTGTTAAACTTTGACAGCACTGATTTGGTCAGTCAGGTCACAGAGCCTTTTTTATGGCCTGGTTTCAGCCTTTTCACATTGCTTTTATTATTGCCACAGCCCTCCGCATTCAGATAGATGTCTTTGTCCATTGCTTTGCTTCTCGTGCTGCTTTTGTGCATCCATAAGGTTTGCACGTTTAAGACAATATGTCAGGTTAAAAATAGTCCAACTTTTAAATACTTCCACTTCCATTCTATTGTGCTTCATCTAAGCTGTTTCTGAATGTCAGAATGCACCTTATGAAACATGTCCAGTCGGGGTGGATTGAACCTTAAACCAACTAGTCGTTAAAGGGGACAGAACACATAGTTTAGCTCAATCTCATGTTAACCTTGAGTACCTATAGAGTAGGATTGCTTCTGTCATATCTCCAAAGAGTCTTTAGTTTGATCATATTTATAAAAGAAAGATACAGCTTTACGATTCTCTCCGAAAGCAGCCGAGCTCCTGGAGGTGTGCCGTGGGCGGAGCTAAAGAATCAAGAGCACTTGCGCGCCGATTGCCAACAAAACACAGAAATTGAATGCCGTTTCACTTATCGCCTGCAGTTCCGAATCATGACCGGGTCCTTTTATTGCTGGGACCGCTCCATCTTTCAGTTTCAAACGATGTGCAAATCCAGCATCAAACTGGGCCTAGTTTATAAAACATTCATCACCAAAATGATGGGAACAAACAAACACACTTTCCGAAACTTGTACGAACCCAGGAGTGTATTTGGCACAGAAATACTCTGTCATGTGTCCAAATTGTTTTTTGAAACTTTGGCCATGTTTAGCATGGGAATTCAACTTTTTAAAATTTTGTAAATAACTCAGAAAGCATGAAATAGCATTAGATCCTCCCTTTTAAGGCATCCAATTTTGAAAATATCCCTAGACTTTAGGGTCAATATAACGTCCATGCAGACCTCTACCATAGATGTCTATAGAGTCTCTAGTTCCTAACGGCTTGACTGTCACATGGTGCATTGATGGATTAGAGCCAGCAAATCCAGACTGCCCTGTGCAGAGCTGACCTACACATATCCATATTATTTGCTTTGTCTTTTTGCTACACATTTGTACTTTTTGCTAACAAAGTTTCGTTTGCCTTTTCTTGTTGAGCGGCCTTCTCTTCTCCCCGTTGTGTTTGAAGTGGAGATAATTTTACTTTCAGAGGTGTGCACGCCACCCCCAGTTATATTTATCTCCAGCCTTCAAAGTGCCACCCTGCTGTGTTTTTGCATCTGAACAAATAAAGAAGGTTGTTTCTCCAGTGCAGCCTTCCATATGGCTCTCTTCCGAAATGAACCAGCCAAGGGGAACGGGAATCACTTGTTCAAGTATAATCGTGTTAACCAGTTTTCTCCTTTTCTCTTTTCTCCACAGTTTCTCCTAAGATGAAACTCCAGCACTCCTAAAGAAGGATGACACCCCTGGCACACTGGCTATGACGGTGCCTATGGGCATCTGTGTCACTCACATGCCAAGCCTGAAAAGTGGAAAGAAAGACAGTTCGAACACTTCCAAGCTCTAGAGTGAAACTTTGCACAGTTGGCAATGGCTGCATATCCATGGCTTGGAGGATAGGATCCCTTGTTTAGCAAGCATTTTTACCACAGTGAGTTTTTTTTAACTAGTCATTTAACAATCCAGCACTTCCTTGCCCAGAGGGTTTATAGAGTAACTGTCACACACAAGCTGAACCGGAGGATCCAAAATGGAGGTCACACAGCAACGCTCTTTCTACCGGACTGGTTAAAGCTGCAGTCAAAAGCATTACTGCAAGGGCAGTATGCAGGCAGCTGACTACCCAGCCACAAATAATAACACAGGTAAGAATCACCTTACCCCTTGATAGGTGCCCTAAGTAAATTTCTCCTTAAGTCTCCTAAGTTTCTCATTCAAGGTTTACACATAATTTAATTAATTATACTTTCAGCTACATGTTAAAATTGATGTACAATTGAAAATGAAGACTCCACATCAATTATCATTTTCATTCTATATCAGACGGGTCCTCATAGTTTCTGGAATTATCATATGACCAGTCATTTACTGTACTTTTTTCTTTTTTGTATCCACAAAAATAATAATAGCTCTATTTTTCTTTGTCTTGTTACATTGTTACTACATTATTATTATGTTATTATTATTAATAACTAGGTGGGAAAATAGATTCACTGTACTAATACTACTTATTATCATTATTATTATCATTATTATTTTATTAATAAATATGATGATAATAATTATAATATATAATATTATTATATATTGTCACCTAATGCTGCTTCTTCATCATCATCTTTTTCTTCTTCTTATTATCTAAACATTAGCAGTACTACTATGACATTCATCTGTAAAAATTTGGTCAGTCGAGTTCACCCTTAGCCAGGAGTTTGACTGGCAATCTGACCAATCGTAACACAAAATATTTGCCATTTTGTCCGACAAACAAACCACAGGAGAGTAGATAAATGTTGGTGGACTTGGACTTAAAAAATTGTGTTTTGATGTGTTTCCGCGGTTGAACCAAGACACCTTCTGATGTTCATTCATGTTTATTTCATGCTATAACTAGTAAAGAGGAAGAGATGATGGGTTCATGTGCCACTTGAACTGAGGCACTACAGCGATCTGTCGCGACACATTAGATATAAGAGCTGTAAAACTGTATTTATTGTTAGAATTTCTTAAAAATGACAAAATTTGAAACCTGAGACTTTGTTTATAGCAAAAGTAACCTGCTCTCTCTTATCTGTTGGCACGTTGTTAGTGTCCTCTGTGCTCCTCAATGTATTTTTGAGAGTATCATGGCTTGTTGGACATAGCAACAGTAACTAAGGGGGTCCAGGTCCTTATGATGGGTCAATTGAGTCACACCTTCCATAAATAATTTGAAGATCATCGTCTAATCACTACCTTGTTACTCAAAACATTTAAAGGGGTCATATGATGCGATTTCAATTTTTCCTTTCTCTTTGGAGTGTTACAAGCTCTTGGTGCATAAAGAAGATCTGTAAAGTTGCAAAGACTAAAGTCTCAAATCCAAAGAGATATTCTTTATAAAAGTTAAGAGTCAGCCACACCTACCTAAAACGGCTCGTTCTAACACGCCCCCACATGTCTACGTCACGATTTGCATAAGATTTGCATAACGCCGCCCAAATGTTCACGCAAAGAAAGAAGCCGTAACTTTTATTCTCACTGTAGTATTGTTGTTGTTGCCGCTGCCGCCATGTCGTGAAGACGCTGTGTGATTCGTTGTGAAAGCGAAACTACTTTGTTTGG